TGAAATAGATTATTTAACATTTTTTTGAAAGTCATGACAAATAAGCTGCATCAAAAAGTGTTTAACTACGTTAAGAACAAACCAAATTACAAGCCTTCAAAGACAGGCATGTCAGAAAGCAACCTGGCAAATTTTGCAACTTTTAGGGGGTGTAACCTAGCGAGGAATTTACCTTCCCAGGTTTTTTTTTGCAGCTTTCTCTATGCTAGCCCAGACTCTACTAATCAGCAAGAAACGAAAAGAATCTGAGAGGATGATGTACGAAGGTGTGCGATTTGGCATGGAATGGCCCATATATATTTCTACCATGCCTTTTTCGTTCGTTATCAACTTTATTTTCTACTGGTTTTAGTCTCTGTTTACTCGTAGTTGTTTTTTCAAAGATTGTAAGATAAGAGCAGAAAAGAAAAAATTGAGAACAGGCAGCGGTTAAAATAAAGGAGAAGCACTACTTCTGAAAGACATTCCTTTTACTTGCGGTGAATGTTTCTGATTATTACCTAAATTACGTTTTTGAAGGCTACGCAGTCTTCAAAACTTTTCTCTTAAAAAAGAAAAAAAAAGGATAAACTGAAAGTATTTCAGCAATCATGTGTAACCGCAAAATATGTTTTTTGCCTTTGGTTAAAAGATTTTCCACATCACATTTGGGTAAAATTACCTTTTGTTTTTCAAAAGCTTTCATTTTTGTGCTTAGACAATCTGGAAGAGATAAACTTAGAGTGAGATGAATTACAGTTGCTTACCAAATTGCAAGCCTGACAATCTATTAAAAAATTGGAACTTTTTTTGAATGACTGGCAGAGCTGGTAGAAAGCTATAGCTTTTATAAGAAGCAATAAAAAATTTAGTGAACTTTCTTTGGAATATACACTTTTTATGATTTTCCAAAAAATTTTTTGATGTCAGCAGCGAAAACCTACGACAGAAAACGGCAAGCTATTTCGAAATTCGAATAAAAGATTTCAGAAAAATTTAATTTAGGGTATCACAAAATTAATTGGAAGTTAAATAATTTTTACATTATGAAATTCAAAATTGACCTCTCTCGTAGAGGCAGTGTTTGGGAATATGTAATTTAGCTTAGAAAGTACAAAGCCACAAGATTAGCGCTTGCTCGTACGATACAATAGGGGCGGCACACGATACGATAGAAGCGCCTTGCAATGTCCACATTCAATGCTTGTAACTGTAAGTGAATGATCTCCTAGCTATCAGGGGATCAGTGTACCCCTTTGCTGTAATAAAAGCTCGTATCGTGTTTTCACTCAACTCCTCTGTTACTATCGATTACCTCCTTCGTTACAGGCAGGCTAAAAAATAAAACATGTTACTGCCTCTCGTTTGACTTCTTTATTTTTGAATTCAATAACTGGTTAAAGTTTTAAAAACTTTTCTTCTATTTCTTTTGGAAAGAACAGCTGTTCTGTCACAGACTGACATCTGCTACTTGTCTTCTTATTTGAGTTCTATCTTATCCAAACTTGTTTAAATTCTGACGTTTAGCTTTTTAGACAGCAAAAACGAGAGAAGAAAAAGAAAGAAAAAGAAAAACAAGAAAAAGAAAATAAAAAAAAAGGAAAAGCAAAAAGAAATAAGAAAGGAAAAGAAAAAGAAGAAGGAGAAGAAGATACGAAAAGTAAAGGTAGACTTAGTTCTTTTTCTGAAAAAATACTTGTAAATAATAGTTTTCTTTTAAAAATTGACGCTAATTGACACTGGTGGAGCATTTATATTGAAAGATTTTGATAGAAACAGAGTAATATTTTTCTTATTTTAGGTACACACCTTTGCAATACATGGCGTTATCAGGCGTTGTTCAAGAAGGTAGAAGTTAGAAATGAAATCATGAAATTGAGTCTTTCTGGAATCGTTAAAAAAATCGGCATGTTTAACGAAATGACATGACCTGCTTATTATTCGCTTTTTTTTAACTTTTTGGTTGTTTCGAATCTCTTTTTGCGGTGTTATTGTGAGCCCTTTTCAAGTTTTTCAGCTCTAGTTCGTCAAAAAAAATTAATTTTGCGTAACTGAGCCAAAATGTACATATAAATTCATTCTAGTTTGTCTCTAAATTTCTGTTTAAAACTTGTGTGATTTGCAAGCCAGAATGTTTCTTTTGATCCACTAACATTCTGCGAAAAATATGCTAAAATGTGTGGAGTCGTTCACACAATTTTACAGGATCTTAGACGAACGTATCAAGCCCTTTTACGTAAAACATTGATTTCAAGAACACTTTCTTTTCGAAATCTTAAATTTTAAAATTATTTAAAAAGTTTCTAAAAGAGAATTTTTTGCAAGTTGTTACTTTCTTATCCTTTTACATCTTCAAATTAACTGAAAGTAGCTATTAATCATCCACTAGCAATCCACTTTTACTTTTACGCTTTTCAGCAAAATTGCTTTCTGCATGTGCTGGGCTCTGATGCGCTACAAAACCAAACATAAAATTGTTATTTCATCAACTTTTTATTTTTCCTTGCAAAAATGTAAGTAAAAATGTTTTGTTTTGTATTATTTAAATAAAACCTAAAACCTATTGATAGATGTCGTTTATTGTATAAAGCAAATAATTCCTACCTTTAGTGACCGTCTCTTTTGGCGATCAAGTAGACAGCAAAAAATCTTGGCCAGATAAGTTTGTCATGCTAAACTCATGCATTCGAAAAATAAAAGTGCAGTAGACGTTGATAATAATCAAAAAGAAAATTTACCAGCTTGTAAAAAAATTCTATTCTTAAAAACCTCACACTGCTGCTCTACGCAAACAAGCATTACTTAATTACACGAACATTGGCTATTCAAGGCTATATGCACTAAGACACTTTTATAAGATTACTTTTATTTAAAAAAAAGAAAAGTGCTTTAATTCTAAAACATATGCTCACCAATTTTAGGTAGAACTTGAACAATACCTGTGTTTAATCCAACACCAGTCACACGTTCTCCGTAACCGACAAGGCCATCACCAGTGCCACCTACTCCTACATGGTGACCGACTATGCCTTCTCCAACACCAAGTGCTCCTGCATGTTGTCCAAT